AACCTGGGAGGCGGAGCTTGCAGTGAGCTGAGATCCGGCCACTGCACTCCAGCCTGGGCGACAGAGCGAGACTCCATCTCAAAAAAAATAAATTAAATAAAATAAATAAACAAATAAATAAATAAATAAAATTTACCTATTCTTGGCTTTCTTCCCCCAGAGTTTCTTACTGATTTTGTGTGAGTTGTGTAGGGAAAAGAAAGAAACATCAGACTGTTCCTGTGTCTGTGTAGAAAGGGAAGACATAAGAAATCCCATTTTGACCTATACCTTGAAAAATTGTTTTGCTGAGATGTTGTTAATGTGTAACTTTGCCCCAGTCACTTTGTCCCAACCTTGTGCTCACAGAAACATGTGTTGTATGGAATTAAGGTTTAAGGGATCTAGGACTGTGCAGGAAGTGCCTTGTTAACAAAATGTTTACAAGCAGTATGCTTGGTAAAAATCATCGCCATTCTCTAGTCTCAATAAACCAGAGACGCAATGCACTGTGAAAAGCCACAGGGACCTCTGCCTTGGAAAGCCGGGTATTGTCCAACGTTTCTCCCCATGTGATAGTCTGAAACATGGCCTCGTGGGATGAGAAAGACCTGACCGTCCCCCAGTCCGTCACCCATAAAGGGTCTGTGCTGAGGTGGATTAGTAAAAGAGAAAAGCCCCTTGCAGTTGAGATAGAGGAAGGCCACTGTCTCCTGCCTGCCCCTGGGAACTGAATGTCTCGGTATAAAACCCGATTGTATATCTGTTCAATTCTGAGACAGGAGAAAAACTGCCCGATGGCGGGAGGTGAGACATGTTGGCAGCAATGCTGCTTTGTTATTCTTTACTCCACTGAGATGTTTGGGTGGAGAGAAACATAAATCTAGCCTACATGCACATCCAGGCATAGTACCTCCCTTTGAACTTAATTATGACACAGATTCTTTTGCTCACATGTTTTCCTGATGACCTTCTCCCTATTATCATGCGGTAGCTCTCCTACCGTGTTCTTCTTGCTGAGATAATGGAAATAATAATCAATAAAAACTGAGGGAACTCAGAGAGCGGTGCCGGTGCAGGTCCTTGGTATGCTGAGCGCCGGTCTCCTGGGCCCACTGTTGTTTCTCTATACTTTGTCTCTGTGTCTTATTTCTTTTCTCAGTCTCTCGTCCCACCTGATGAGATACACCCACAGGCGTGGAGGGGCAGGCCACCCCTTCAAGTTTTAGCCTAGACTTTAGGATTTTTAAACTCTTCAGGTGATTCTAATGCATAGCCAACATTGAGAACCACTAACGTAGATGAAGTTATTCAGCTGGGCAGTAGAGTTTAAAAGCTATGAAATCATAGGTTTCCTGAAAACTTTCGATTGAGCAATTAGATAATTTAAAAGCTTTTGTGCATCATAGGTCAGGTTAGTTTGCCTGTATTGGAACTTGACTTCCTTGTACTTTTTCCTCTCCTCTGCTTCAGGGTGGTCAATGAGGTTTCTACTCAACTGGTGGTGGGTCTACATAAACATCCAATGCTTTCATATTCAAGCCTGTTTGTTTCAAATCAGAGCCTCTGACCTTGATCACTAATATCTTTTCATGCCTTTCAAATGTTGTATTTAGTAGTCATCCTTGTATTCATTCAGAAAACATAGCACTGTGAGACGCAGGCTACATTGACATACTTGCCATACTTAATATCATCATAGGAGCTAAGACAGAAAAACTGATCAAATGCATTACAAACGACTGGGTATGGTGGCTCATGCCTGTAATCCCAGAACTTTGGGAGGCTAAGACAGGTGGATCCTTTGGGGTCAGGAGTTTGAGACCAGCCTGGCCAACATGGTGAAACCTCATCTCTACTAAAAATACAAAAAAATAGCCCGGCGTGGTGGCACGCACATGTAGTCCCAGCTACTCGGGAGGCTGAGGCAGGAGAATGGCTTTTATTCGGTAAAGGGAGGTTGCAGTGAGTCAAGATCATGCCACTGCACTCTAGCCTGGGTGACAGAGTAAGACTTTGTCTCAAAAAAACAATGCTGTGCTTGTGGATTAATGCCTTTGAACAAACAATACACAGAAAAAGCTACATTTAATTGAATCATGTCAATTCTAAGCATTTCAGAAAGGTGAGGCTTAATATATTTTCCTTGTAAAACACAATAGAAGCTCACAACTGCATACATCCCTAGACAGACAGCTACCAAGATAACATGGTTAACTCTTGGAGTCATATGCCACTGTTTATTTATAACTTATTCCTCCACTTCGTTCTCTACTAGCATTTGCAAAAGGACATAATGGTATAATAAAAAATGACCAGAGAAAACGTTCAGCCCTTAATTCATTTCGAATATGAAGGATGTGAAACAGGTCATGATTTGATCTGAGAAGCAGGTATCTTGCACTGACACCCGGGTTGGAATGCAATGGTGTAATCTCAGCTCAATGCAACCTCCGCCTCCCAGGTTCACACAATTCTCTTGCTTCAGCCATCCAAGTAGCTGAGATTCCAGGCACACACCACCACACCTGGCTAATTTTTTGAATTTTTCATAGAGACAGGGTTTCACTCTGCTGCAACACTGGTCTCGAACTTCTGACCTCGTGATTCGCCCTCCTCGGCTTCCCAAACTGCTGGAATTACAAGGTTCCCTGATTTCTGGATGTGTGTTCATTGCCTGCCAAGCACCATGCCGACGGCTTTGGTGGTTGGACTTGTGATTCAGATGAGTCTGGTTCCAATCCCAGCTCTACCACACACATTGTGACATGACCTGGGCAAGTCACCAAACAATCTAGGCTTCAAATGTCATTATTGACATTATTTATAAATGGGGATGTTAACCCTGTCTCATAGGGTTAGATGATTCAAATGGGCTTTATGACTAACGTTCCTGGCATGTAAACCATCTTAATCTTTACCACACCCTTGAAGATATACATTAGTACTTTGTATTATAAGACTTCAAAGAAAAAAAAAAAGAGAGAGAGAAAACTGAGCCCTACAAGAGTTACAAAACTGACCCTAGGATACTCAGCTGCTGTGAGCAAACCCAGGCCCAAACCCACTGTTCCAAATGGCTCGCCCTGGTTTGAGAACAGCATGTGTATTCCCCCAAAGTGGGGTACATCGTGTTTCCAGTCTTATTTGAAGACTCAGTTCTAGACTTGAAATATAAATAGTATCAGATGCACCCAAAAGCCAAAGGTGATGAGGAAGATATTAGAAGAGCTAGAGAATAACAATGATGAAATTAGAAAGCATCAGGCACACGGCCTCTTTCATATCAATGGGAAGTCTCATGGATAACTGAAGATTTCTCTCCCAGCACACATAGAGGAAGGTGGAACCTACCTCCCAGGCATCCAAGAACGTTGCTTTTCCACCAATGGCATTACCTTTATCATCTTTGGGGTAAAAGTCATCCCCAGACTGTAAATACAGAATGAAAAGTTTACTGGAATCTGCATCATGACACTTGGTTCTGTTAAACAAGGTTTCAGGGTCCGGACTCTTGCTAAATACCACATGTGCACACCAATTTTTCAGACTCTGCAGTACATACTACAAGAATGTGAGTTTAAATAAAATCTCTATATCTACTGTAGCATATTAATCCTTATATTTTAGAAACCACTGGATTGATGTTAAGATCTGTGGTTAGTACATTCCAGAAGTCATCGTTATCACCATGGACATTCACCTCATACACCTAGATCCTGTGTACACCCAAGGGCAAACTTTCATTTCAGTATCACTGGATAAGGATTAGATCTCCAGGGTGTGGTTTTCTGGGGAAGATATTGGCCAGCTTCTATCCTTGCAGCCTCTAGAAGAGACATGGAATAAGGGATGGCAGGCCATCAGCACTCCCGCTGGTCAGGAGGGGAGAGAGCTGGAAATTTGTCTCTCCCACCCCTCAGGAGCAGCTAGAGCAGAGCCCCAGGCAATGGGAGCCGCGATGACTACTGGCTTCCTTCAAGCATCACCGCACTTGGGCTTTTCTCCAAGATGCCACTCCCGGGGTGTGCTTTGCTTAATAAAATTATTAAGCCCTGGAATGTAGTTAAGCCAGAGTAACCCAAGGGATTTCTTGGGAGGGCAGTCCCAGGGCATGGAAATAAGACAAAGGTGATAGGGCAGTTGCAACTTGTCTGTGCTGCCAGAAATCATGGCTTCTCTCAGACATAACTGCAAGAAAACGCAGGCATGTGGCCACCTCAGCAGCACACATGGCCTCAGCCTCCCTTCCACGCCAGCGTCTTTCTGCTCCAAGGTCTATTCCTGACCACCTGAAACTCCCAATTATGAACTGCAAGGTCTCCTGCTCCAGTCCACACCACCCCCCAGCCCTAGTGCAGCTAGTATTTTCTGACACCTGCTCAGAAACTAGAGGCTGAGAAAGGGAGTCACTCAAACCTTGAATCCCTGTGGCCAGTGAATAAGATAGAGGTCCAGATAGCTCAGCTTCAGGTCCTTGAGGGTCTTCTCAAAGGCTTTCCTCACAAGGGGTCTCTCAAAGAAAGTGGTCCACAACTGCAAGAGGGTAGCAATGAGCTATTAATACAGGGAAAAGGAAGGGCCACATTATACTCATTGTCTCTGCTCTTACATTTGCACCTTGATCTAACCTGGCACAGGTCATTTATAACAAAGCTGATTAAGATCCACGACACAGTGTGGAAGATCACCAGGGCTCAGCACGTCAATGACATGTCTTAAGTGTTAAAACCAATTTACTTTTTCAACTCTCCTAGTACTCTATATGTCTCTCAGATCACTTAAGTAAATGTGGCCACAGATTTGAAATGTGTTTACCTGTCTCAGTCTCTTTGTCAGCTGTGGGCTCTCTGAGAGCAGGACTTGTGTGTAGCTTTTAAATGTCAAGCATTCTTAGGCCTTCGGGAAAAGATGGTCCTTTATCTGACCTATCTGACAGGTCCCTTATCAAGCCTGTCAGGCCCCAGATGATAACTTTATAAGGGCTTTATCCACACTTGGCTGCTACACAGTGGGGTCTATTTGTCCCACCAGATGTATGCAATATCCAAGTACCTAGAAACAGTGTTTTTTTCTGCAAGTTGTGTATAATGTAAATCCAGTGATTCTCAACCGCCTCACATGCAACATCCTCTTCTTTTTTGTAACATTGTGTACCTCACCTTTTAGTAGACTGAATAAAGAAACCCATATGTGACAATAGAAAAATGCCCCTATTGTTTTCCAAAATGCCCCCTGGCTGAGAACCTCAGGGTCACAGTCGCTGAGACCACAGTGCTGACAGGGAGACCACACATCGAGCCCTGCCTGCACCCTTGGCCTCTGACTGCCTCTGGGCAGATGGTGGATCCCTCTGATGGGGAACAGGGAGGCCCAGGGCAGTGCAGGGCTCCATGGAGACAAGCCCACTGTGGGAAAACCAACCCGCAGGCAGGTGGCGCAGCAACGACATGTTCAAATATCAATAGCGGCTTGGAGTATGGATAGAATTGTATCCACGGATGTTATCAAAGCAGGGATGAAAAGGGCTACATTAGAAAAGGCTGACAGAGTTCTCGCTGCCGACTCGACTCAGATACTTCTGCCTGCCTTGAAGTGAAGGCCTCCCACCCAATGCGCCATGTGCACCTTGCTGACGATGAGCAGGTCCTCCCGCTTCACAGCCTGCTCTTGGATCTTCTCTTGGATGGCTTCCCCCACCTCATGTTCATTCTGATAGACATAGGCACAGTCAATGTGGCGATACCCCGCATCAATGGCCACCTTCACCGCTTCTTTCACTTTGCCGAGAGGAGACTGAAAGGCAAAAGAAAAGCCCATCACACATGCATTATTTTTTTTTTCCTTAAGAGATGGGGCCTTGCCATGTTTCCCAGGCTGGCCTCACACTCCCAGGTTCAAACAATCCACCCAACTCCCGAGTAGCTGGAATTACACCATACTCAGCAACCAACATAGTCACTTATCCCCAGATCACCTTCAACAGGTTGCCCCACATGGCCCAGTTTCTCCAAAGCAAGGCCTCACTGGGGTCTCCTGGGCCAGGGAATATCTGGCAAACTTTAGAAAAGTTTTCAAAAGAAGAGAAGGAAAGTGAATTAATTTTATGATTATGTCCTTATGTCCTGTCCTAGTTAAAGTCAGTTCCCTTTTCATCCAGGTTAGTCCTGAAATGTCTTCAGGTGTGTCGGGGAGTGCAGATGGCTCCACTGCAACTTCCTGAAGACCCCGATGAAAGCTTGACTCTAAATAACCCAGAGGAATTTTCAGACAATATCCCCAAACGGTGATAAGGATCTGGATAATGGTCATTACAGCATCAATCCGGATTCCAACACTTACTGGGTGTGTGGGTCTAGGTAGTTGATTCCATCTCTCTAAACCTTGTCTGCAAAATGGAAAAAAAAAAAATGGCACCAGCCTCATGAGGCCTTTGTGGTGATGACACGCTGCAATGAATGTTAAGTTAAGCACATCACCTGACACACAGTAAGGCTCAGTAGAGGCCGTTCATTATACAAGGATCCTTTCAGAAAAAAAGGAGAAATAGAAAACCTTATAGGAATAGAGTTTGTTTTCCATTCCTATAAGAAGAAAGAGGGACGGAGGGAGAACAAGAGAGAGGGAGAGAAAGAAAGGAATGAAAGAAAAGAAAGGAAATAGAATTATCACATTTTGTTCTAAACTAGCCATGCCAATGATGGGGGCAAAAAGCACTTAAAACTTGATCTCTCACAAAATAGTCTTTTAAATGTCTTCTGTTGGGATATAAGAAGCATTGAAAAGTACATAAAACATAGATGCACAGTTGCCCTACCACCTGGACAAGATACGGCTGCCACCAGGCATCTAGAAACACCCCTGTGTCCCCAACCGCTATGCTACACCATCCTTCACCTCCACCGCTAAGTTCATAATCCTTTATCTATCATCCCCACATGTCGCAGATGGCTCCCTTCATAATTCTTACATTCAATTCCAAAATTCTGAAACTGTCTGGCAAACTTACCCAGGGTGAGCAGATTCCCTGGAGTTCTGGAAGTGATTATTTGGTCTGTTTATATAGGATTGAAGCTCTGATTTTGGTCAAATATTGCTATTCAACAAGAGACGGTGTGTGCATGAATCAAACTGGAAGTGATCTCTTTGCCCAGATAGACGAAGAATGTATCCTGAGAATGACCCAGTGCAGTAACAGAGTGTCCTGCCCTCCAGTTCAGCACAGGAGAGGGGAATAACCAGGGGGCACAGAAGGAAAGAGCCAGAGGCAGAAGACTCAGAATAGGCATTAGCCATGAGGGATAGGAGAGAAGAGAAATTCCAAAGACTGTTTCTGGTTGCTAGTTAGGGTAGTGCCATCATGGATGAAAATGGCAAAGAAGGCAGAGTGAGGTGGTGATGGAACAACTTCAAACTTAGCCTAAGAAAGGCTCAGGAACCTGCCTCACTGAGTCCTGGATGTGCCTTACCGTGTTTTGCCAGCTGACATTAACACAGCCAGGTGGAGCTCATGACTCCCAGGCCAGGCTCTCGGCAGCCCCAGCACGCTACAGATTTCAATGTGTACAGGAACCACCTGGGGATCTTGTTAAAGTGGAGACAACCATTAGAGCGTCTGGGGTGGAGCCCGAGACTCTGCACTTTTTCTCTTTCTTTCTTTTACACAGGATCTCACTGTTGCCCAGACAGGAGTCAGTGGCACCATCACTGCTCACTGCAGCCTTGACCTCTCAGACTCAACACTCAGTCTCCACCTCAGCCTCCCAAGTGGCTGGGACTACAGCTGCATGCCACCACGCCCAGTTAATTTACTGATTCTTTGTAGAAATGGAGTCTTGCTATGTTGCCCAGGCTGGTCTCCAACTCCTGGGCTTAAGCAATTCTGCCGTCTGGATCTCCCAAAGTGCTGGGATTACAGGCATGAGCCACCACACCCGGCCAGTTCTGCATTTCTAACAAGCTCCCAGGTCATATGGATTCTGCTAGCCCAAGTCCCACACCCTGATCTGCAAAGGGGTGCCAAGGACTTGGGGCTCTGCATCGTCTCCACAACCACCCAGCCCACAACAAACCCACAGCCAAGACTCTGGGGAAACGTTGAGCCCAGTTAAGTGTCCTAGAGAGACAGAGAGAAACTGTCCTGGAAAACAATTTTAAGTCCAACAGCTGCTTGAACTTTGATACCTGCTAGAGAAGCTCTCAGCGCTGCTGGGAAAGCCAGCCTTGGAGCTTTGCAGCCTGAATCAGCTCTGAGAAAAGAAAGCAACCGGAGTCCCGGCTCCAGGACTGAATCTCACCTCTCCCAACCCCTGCCCGACCTCCAGGCTTTCCTGGCTGAATGCAGACAGAGAAAACACCCAAACGCCCCTCCAG